GTACACGTGTCCAGATTCATAATCAGGAATTCATTCATTCGGAGATAAAGAGAGTTAGACTGTATTAGACGATGTTGTTGAAGTTGTCAATAAAACAAACTCGACCAAGACAGGTTGTACACCTAAGGTTAACTTTGAGCTTACAACTATATATGCTCAACCTTTGAGCTTGCAGGTTAACCTCAAGTTGACTACTCCACACCATTATCATTGAAAAACCCTTTAATATTATGATTAAACACTATCAAAATTTTCAGTAAGAGAAAAACACTGCCAAAATGTGGCTAAATAAAATATTTCAGTAAAGAGAGAAAAACATTGTCAAAGGTGTGTAAATAAGAGTTCGTACAACAGAGACATGATAGAGACACTATTGCCGGATTCTCTGATTTGGTGAGTGATTTAAATGCTGAAATCATACAAATTGAAGGTTGGTGAATTATTTAAGAGCAATAAGCTAGTTGGCTGGATTTTTAAATATAACCAAAAGGGATGTATTCCCTGCTGGGAATGAATCGATCATTTTATATAGGCACACTTTAGGGTCCATGCAAATCCCAAAAGTAAGAAAATGATAAGTAAAACAGTGCAAATTGCAGGGATAGGATTTTTCAGTACACACAATTGCAGCACGCATGCTTATGATTCTTGTACGAAATGGTGTCCTTTATATGCTATTTACTCGTTATTTTTTAGCTGAGCTGGCCATAGCCAAATTCCATTCATATTGAAGGAGAAGTGGGGTTCAAAAATCCAAGTTGTGGACTCATACAGAATTGTGTAATTAGTGCCATTAATTCTGGAACAATTATATATATGCATCTGTTTTTCTAGCCGTGCAAAATTATTTTTTAGGCCGGGTTAATTTCTCTTCAGCTGCAATTCACCTTGATTAGGAGCAAAAGTACAGTGAAGATTGCTTGAGTTGGGGACTGTCGGCTTGAGCCTGCCAAGAGGTAGCTAGGTAATCGTTTGTTAGGTGCTCTATCAAAATCATGATATGCAATTACCTCTCCACAAAGCAACTTACTAGTAGCATACATAGGCTTCTCAAGTGACATGCATATTGCTAGATAGGTGGATTAGGGCATGTACAACTTTCATTAGTAAGGGTTCTTAACCTTTCCAAGTAGACAAATTCGCTGACATGGAAGAGATGAGAGTATAAAGTGAAATATCGATGTTAAGCTTAACATTGGTTTAGCATCAACTGTTTTTAAAAGAGAAAATATCGACTCTTAACCTATGTAAAAAGAAATTTGGCTACATAAGGATGGGGAAAGGGGAAAAAAGAGATTTTTTTTCTGATGGACGAATAGTGGATAGTCTTTATTGTCTTAACTTTTGTAAGGGAAACAACCTTCAAAAAATTTGTATTGCCTAAAAGTTCATGCTAAGCTAGCTACCTTTGAACTTGTACTTATGACTCAAGATCCAAAAAAACAATACTTAGTTTCTTAACAGTGTAGTTAATGTTTGTTTTGATTTCTTTAGGACTAACAAAATTAAAAAAAATGAACCAGCTGGCTTAGTTTCTTGACAGTGCAGTATTCTGAATGTGACATAACATAACTAAGAGTCTATTTTCTTTCCCCCTTCAAAAATGGGCCCATATGAAATCCGATTAGGACTTAATTCTCCAAATTAAGTGTAAGCCAGCATAACTGAATTACTGATTAATCAGTCACAATTTTCGCTGTCAGCTATATATAGTTGCAGGCTGTGCAACAAAGTACAAGAGGGGTCAAGATGAGTCAGACATTGCCTCTAGTCCCCCACACTGATGTTGATACACTCAAAAGTCCATCTCTTGCATCGCATGCATGCATGATCATTGATGCATAGCTGTGGCTGTCCACTGGTTGCAGACGATCTCTATTTGATCTCTCCTAAGCTTAATTAATTGAGCAGCTAACTTTTGCAGCTTCTAAACCTTTATGTGTGTTCCAACACCAAATGATGCATATTCATGGTCATGCACTAATTAACCTCAGAATTGAAGGACCGCCTATTTGTAACTTTTAAGGGCTATAATGCTCAAAGATGGCTCTGTATTACTGTATATATGCCTCCTTCCACAGAAGAGTGATGTAATTTCTGTCGCAATATTATTAATAAAATTCAATAATAAAATTATAGTTTGTAAAAGAAATTTTTGAAGGAAATAATAACTTATCTATATATAAAAAATCACCATTCCAGGTGTCAATCAAAATATCTACAAAGATAGTTATACCAAAAGCATATTAAACTATAGGTATATCAATTTTTCTGTGAAAAAAAACAAATGCATATAAATCACTTTTCAGATGCCAATATTAATATTTACAAAGATAGTTATATCCAATGTTTACAGTTTCTTTTACTATAGTTATCTCAATACGTCATTGCTTTCTGTGGGTGAGGTCATATCTATCGACTTTATCAGAAGGTGAAGTATACATTAATATATGTGTAATATCTCTATTGATCTAGTAGTACGCATATATATGCATGAAAGTTAAACAAATCTAAAATGTAGCTAGACATTAACCTTTTGGGTGATTTGGATCAATTCAAGCATGTGTGGTTAGGTGAAACTACCTAGCTTTGGGCCTTTTGCACATTTGATATATACTCCCTCCATTTCAAAATGTTTGACACCGTTGACTTGTTAGTACGTGTTTGACCATTCGTCTTATTCAAAAAATTTAAGTAATTATTTATTCTTTTCATATCATTTGATTCATTGTTAAATATACTTTCATGTACACATATAGTTTTACATATTTCACAAATTATTTTGAATAAGACGAACGGTCAAACATGTGCTAAAAAGTCAACGGTGTCAAACATTTTGAAACGGAGGGAGTATGTACCCTCTTGGGATCTAGCAGTGCAACGTTTTGTGAGCAAAGTTAGGTTTCAGCTACCTAGCTTATTAGATGATTGGCAATGGATATGGAGGGAGATCTCGTCGACTAATTATTGTATGGATGATATTTTGGCTAACATTTTCCTCGAACTTAATTACTAGCTCGGCCTAAAATGTCATGGCATGCATGTTTGCTAGCGAATTCTAGAGAGGAAACAAGTCAACAACGTTTTGCATAAGGTCTACTGAATTAAGATAATTAAGATAATTAAAGACAAACCTCTACTGAATTTAGGATTAATTAAGAGGTACTAATTCCTAAGCATGTCTGACAAAGCAACAAAATTCAGTTAGGTACTATAAATTAAAATAATCAAATAGCTAGAGATGAATATACACTTTTTTTTTTGCAATGGTGGTGGCAAGCATGCATGCTTGCTTAGCTATCTTAATTATTAGTGCCCTCCAAAAGGGATAAACATGTGTGGATAATTGGGCTTATGGATCTTCCTTTCCAACCCGGCTACTACTGATCTCGACCGACCTACATGTGTACATATCTTGCTTAATCAATGGAGCTTTTTTAGCCTTTAGCAACTGTTGCATTATGCATGCTTGTGATCTCCTTGATTATCTTGCTGCCATCCATCCATCCATCCATGGCCTTTTGGGATATGATGTGCACATGAAAAGTTTTTTTGCATCACTGGCTGCATGTTCACTGTTCACATGTGTACACGTACACGCGTGTGTACAAACTATATGCGAATTGTCAATTTGCTCCTTCTTTATTCGTGGATCCTTCCATCCCATTCCTTCAAGAGCCAGTCGCTAACGATTAGCCTCATTTAGAGCATGAAATTTTATCTTTTATTATTATAGAGCAAGAATTTAGTTTTTTTTTGTAAAATTACTGTGAGGTTCTATGTTATTGTGGGGTTTATGTGAATGAGTTAAGCATTTAAAATTTTTTAATAATAAAAATGGTTTTACATCTCCTATCTCTACCAACATGCACAAGAAAAAAATAAATAAAATGGTTCAAGGTTATGGGATGAATTCTTATCTCCCCCGATAATATCCAACTGAGATATACTCGATAGAAAACACATTTAAGCATTACATTAGTTATAATTTATGTTAGTTGGTCAATATTTATCTTCCTTTTTCTCTACAAATAAATTTGTAGTACTGAACTCTTGATAGTTGAGATATGTTGCCAAGAAAGAAGAAATGGAGGGAGTTGGAAAAGTGAAGAAGGGGAGCAAGCCGCCATGATGGGGGCAAGTGTGGCGCACAAGCCGGCCAGAAACACCAACACCACTTCAGTTCTCTTCCCTGCTTTCCATGCATGGCCTTGTGGCCCACTCACTGACAATGAGCTCACTGCAGCTAGTGACAGTCCAGTTGTAACATTCCGGCTTAGGGCTTAATAGAATTAATAGAATACTCATATCAACAAGTTACAACTTCTTTTCCGGAAGTCAATCTCTAAAGAACTCCAGGGTTAAGCGTGTTTGGCCTGGAGCAATTTGGGATTGGCCTGGAGCAATTTGGGATGGGTGACCGACCGGGAAATTCTTCCCGGGTGCACACGAGTGAGGACAAAGTGTGCAGAAAAGACATGTGTTGGTCTGTGAGGGTAGTCTATGACCTATGAAAGCTATCAGATGTAAGTGGGCCCGGCCTGGGGGAGGCGGGACGTTACAATTATGATCCTATTATAAGATATAAGTTCCTAGTGCAGTCAACTAGGAGGATTAAATCAATGAAGAGATATAATCCCTCCATCTATTATAGATATATTTTTAAATCTGAAAAATTTATTTTTAATAGACATATTTCAATTCAACAAACTATCATCTTAATGATTTTTTCGGATTTAATGCATGACTCTTTATTCTTCTACGCAAGATTGGCTATATGGGCATTGAGAAATGTAAATATTAATGAATCGTTTGTTTACGAGAAATGACTAGTAGCATGTTTAAATGGATGATAAGTAGAATTACTTATCCTTGGTCTGTGTGCCAAAGTGAAATATTACTATCAAAAGAGATATATGTAATTAAGCTGAATCACCCTATCAATCAAAATTGGAGTAGTATATAAAGACATGCATGGTCAGTGCTAATCTCCCACCTAGCTTCCACGTACAAGCAAAGAAACACACGTACACATGGCCAAAAACGTAATGCGCGTCGTCGCAATACTAGCCATGCCACAACAACTAATAGTGCTGCTGCTGCTGTTCCATGCTACGGCGGCGCCGGCGGGTGGGCAGCGGGCGGGGTGCCCGAGCAAGTGCGGCGAGGTAGACATCCCCTTCCCTTTCGGCGTCGGCGTCGACTGCGCCTTGCCGGGCTTAAACGTCTCATGCAACCATAGCTTTGCCCCTCCCAGACCCTACATCGCCGATGACAATGAGTTCATCGACGTCTCGCTGGAGACCGGGGAGACACGCGTGTACACTCCCGTGCTGCAAAACTGCTTCGACTTGTCCAACACCAGCAGCAGCTCCGACGCAATCTGGCAGGGGCTCGACCTCACCGGGACGCCGTTCCTTGTGTCGCCGGAGAGGAACGAGTTCACCGCCACCGGCTGCGACGCGCTGGGGCTGATATACGGCAGGGAGGACGTGAGCTTCTTCACCGGCTGCGTCACGACGTGCACGAGCTTGGGTACCGCCGCCAACGACGGTGACAACTGCACGGGACTCGGTTGCTGCCAGCTGCAGTCCATCCCTGGAAACCTTACCTTACTAGGGATGACGTTGACGGCCAACATCACCGACACGAAGATTTCTGCGTGGAACCCCTGCCGTTACGCCTTTATAACCGAGCGAGACAGGTACGTATAGTACCACCTCTGTTTTAGAACATATTTTGTTTCGTCAGTAAAACATAGTTTTTTTTATGACGAAAAATGAATATATTAGATTATCAAAAGTATTTACTTATTGTATATATTATACCTTATTAGCACATAAATGATATCATCGTAGAGTAATTCTTGATCAAAGTTTTGATATATCTTTAAATGTATTTCAATACAATCATATATATTTGATATTTCTATATATATTTAATAGAAAATCTCGTGTTCTTGTCCAAAATAATAATTATTTTTTAATATGGAGCTAGGAGCTTATATTTTCTCATTTGGTTTTTACGTCTGGAGACGATCATTTGGTTCCTAAAATGATATGCGGATATGTTTAGAGAAATTCTGGAAACATTAATTTGATATGACCCTTGTAAAATACTATCCCATATTATTAAATTTTGAGTTTAAAAAACTCGACCTATATATACATTGAGGGAAAAAAAAAAGACAAATCTATAGCACGAACAACATACAAGCAATGTTCAACACTGTATTCGTCTTTTTTAATACATTATTGTAAACCGAGTTAATTTTTTTATCATTTTTTTCTTATTAATTACTCCCTCCGGTTCTATAATAATTGACGTTTTGGACAAGGTTGACGTCAAACTTTTATAACTTGACCATTAATAATTTTAAAAATATTTAGTTTAAAGAAACTAGAACAACATATATAGATTTGTCTTTAAAAGTACTATAATAAAAGTAAACATGCATTTATTTATTGTATATATTATAATAGAAAAATAAGGTCAAAGATATATTTTGTATACCATGTCATTGTCCAAAACGTCAATTAAAATGAAACTGGAGGGAGTAACTAATTAACAAAAAATGGAGTTAACTAAGGTTGGAACAAATCAACAATGCATGTTTTCCTTGATGTTCTAGTATTAAACCATATGTAGTGGATTCGGTCAACGGTGAAGTTGAGGCATTCCTCTATTAAGGGACAAATTTTTACAATATATCCTACTACATCATCAAAACTCAAGCACACACAAAACACAATGGTTTCAGCAGCAGATTCTTGAGTGCTTAGGGCCGGATACAATCGGTATATAGCATCAGGAAGGGAGCTAGCTAGGAATTAGCAGGAAACATGGAGAAGCCGAGGTTGGAGGAAAGGATGAGGAATACAGGGAGGGTCAAAGGTTGAAGACGAGAGGAGCCAGGGAGGAAAAATATAGCTACTCTCTTTCCAATATTTTGTTCGATTCCTCCAATTGAAGCATCTGTTGTTTTTATACTTTTCTACCTTGGACTCAGTGGTGGGTTCAGAAAATTTCTTGAGCATAGGCAAGTCTAATGATGGATGATAAAAGGATATATAAATCCATATAACTCCGTATACCATTTATCATTGATGTAGGCAAATTGACACTACATAGTTACTCCCTCCGTTTCAGGTTGTAAGACGTTTTCACTTTGGTCAAAGTCAAACTGTTTTAAGTTTGACCAAATTTGTAGGAAAAAAATATTTTTAACCCAAGACAAATTTATTATGAAAATATATTTAATTATTGATTCAATGAAACTAATTTGGTATTATAAATATTACTCTCTCCATTCCAAAATATAAGGCATAACCACCCTTAATCAAAAACCAAGAAACAATTATTATCATATCCTAATTTGTATCACCCTAGTAAATACAATGCATGCACCTAATAAAATTAGAGATCTTAAGGGTGGAGGATTTTAAAAAATAATAATTTATTGGAGAAGCAGTGCTAATTAATTGCATGCATGCATGTACGCCTTATATTATGGGACATCTGAAAAAAGTAGTTGTACCTTATGTTATGGAATGGATGGAGTACTATATTTATCTATAAACTTAGTCAAGCTTGACGCATTTTGACTTTGACCAAAGTCAAAACGTCTTATAATATGAAACAGGGGGAGTATTATTTTAGAGAGGAAAACCAATGCATATGCAGACCATAAATAATGTTCTGAACCTTAATTGCTTTGCTAATTTGTTTGGTTAATCTTCCATTCATTAGGACTAGCAAAAAGTATGTATGTACTAGTACATGAGAGGAGTGATAGAGAGAAGGAAGGGAGAGAAGAGGTGAAAGAGAGAGATGATGTGGATAGTCTGACATGTGGGGCCCACGTGGGGCTCACGCTGACTCAGCTGCCACATCGGACAAAACCGGGTTTAAAACCTCCTATGGACCTAAAGTGAACCGGTTTTGTGAGATGAGGGATGACATATATCTAGTTTTGCGGTTTGGGGATGATTTTGTAATCTGATGACAAGATGAGGGACCTTCTATGTACTTTTCCCTTGCAGTTTTGGCTGCATGGATGGTTGAATAGGCCCATATGTGCAGTTGTCTAGGCAGGCCCATGATAGGTCCATGGCGAACACCACCTAGATCCCATGTCCCATGTCATCAATAATCCGCTGCTATCTTTGGGTCACATACAATACCCATCATCCACTAGTATTTCCCGAGAACAAGCCTGAATAAATTTTACATACGATGGCTGACAGGATGATAATTTCTGAAGTTTTTTGTGCCATTGCTGATGTTAAAAACCGTGAGGAAAAAAAAAATCTCTTTCTGGTGGTGATTATACCCAAGCAATGTGCATGGCATCCGGTAGCATGATCATAAACTTACAAATCCACCACGCACCATATAAAAGTGATTTCTTGCATATGCCACTTAACTTGATACACCCGTATTAGTACCGCAAAAAGTGTCTTTTTTTTCTGCATTTATTTCTTATAAGAAATATTTAGTTAATTAACTAATTAACAAATGGCCCACCAAGATATTTGTTACAGAAGGCAATCAATATCTTCAAACCTTAAAAAATATATATCCGAGTAGACATACTATTTCAATATTATGAACTAGCAATTTTTGATCATACAATTCAGGTACAATTTTAACCGGAAGGATTTCGGTCGCTCAGGCAACAAGATATTTGCAAACCGGGATGGCGAGATGGTTGTCCCTACGGTGCTTGACTGGGCCATCAGGGGAAATGGGTCATGCTCGGGGTCGGTAGCTCCTGCCTGCGTCAGCGAGCACAGCTACTGCGCCAATGCCACTAACGGAGATGGGTATCTCTGTAAGTGCTCCACGGGATACGCCGGCAATCCCTATCTCAAAGGCAATGGTGGATGCACAAGTTAGTTCTTAAATTTCCTATCTTCTCCATCATGGATTACTAGTGCAGTTAACGTTGTATTCATTGACAATATGGGGATTATTTAATTTAAATTTAGTGTTTTATTACAAGACTGATATATATACACATATGTTGCATGCATGTAGATATTGACGAATGCAAGGAACCAGATCGTTGTTCTACTGGCAGCAGATGCCATGACACAGAGGGCGGTTATTACTGCAAATGCCGTTTTCCACGTAGAGGGGATGGTAAAATTAATGGCAAGGGATGCCACCTTCCCAAAGATATAGTCGTGACCCTTGGTAAGCTAGCTGATCAAGCAAGCGTTAGTTAATTCCTCGTACTTACTGCATGTAGTCTGATTTGAATCAACGGCTCGTTCGTTCAATTAATTATTTGTTGTTTGATTTGATTTGTCTCCAAATATACAGCGACGGTGTGCATTGTGATTTTTCTTGTGTTCTTTGTGTGCTGGTATGAGAGACGGAAGAGAAGAAGGCACTTCAACAACAATGGTGGCCGGCTGCTCAGTGGTATGGAAATCAAGCACTTCTCGAAGAAAGACCTAGACAAGATGACAAAGAATAGGACGACGATGCTCGGAGAGGGTTACTTCGGCAAGGTCTACATGGGAACCCACAAGAACCAGCTGGTTGCCGTCAAGTACTCCAAGGGAAAGCGCAAGCTGGCACAGATGACGCATGGCAAAGACATCAAGTGCATGAACAAGAAAATGTTCCAAAACGCCTTTTGTTGGTCCAAAGTTCCATCCTCGCCGGAAGAAGATTCGTCGTCACGAGTGTCCGGCCCGGAGTTAGTGGACGAGCTAAGGGTCCAGTCACTGATCCAGCACGAAAACGTGGTCACCCTCCTTGGGTGCTGCATGGAGACGGAGGAACCCACGTTGATCCTTGAGTTTATCCCTAACGGGAGCCTCGAGAAAAAGCTCCACAAAGATAAGCAACACCCTCTCTCGCTGTCGCAACGCCTTGACATCGCCATCGGCTCCGCGGAGGCTCTCTCCTACATACATTCATCGTCTGACCACCAAAGCATTGTTCATGGAGATGTCAAGCCAGCCAACATCCTCCTTGATGACAAACTGATCCCTAAGGTCTCTGACTTTGGGTCAGCTGAGCTCACATTGAAAATCAAGCTCGTGTGTGGTGACCTGGACTATATCGATCCCGTGTTCCTGCAGACCCGCAATTTCACGGTGAAGAGCGATGTCTATAGCTATGGGGTAGTTCTCCTAGAGCTCATCACCCGGAAAAGGGCCAAGTACGACGATGGGAGAAGCCTCCCAGTAGAATTTGTGAAACACTACAAAGACAACAACGAAAGGAGGAAGATGTATGATCAGGATATGTTGTCGTCTATGGATGCACTACTGCAGCCTTACTGCACGGAGTGCCTTGACAGGATTGCTGCCATTGCGGTCCGATGTCTCAAAAACAAGGTGGAGAAGAGACCAACCATGGCGGAGGTGGTCGAGGAGCTTAAGCAGCTGAGAGAGCAATTAAGCACACGTATGTCCTAGCTAAACTGCTGCAACTAATGCCGGGTGCAGGAATCCATCAGCTCGAGTGTACGAAGATGAATGTTCTTCTTTGCCTCGTGTTCTTCAGTCTCTCAATTAGTTGGTCTCTCGTCAATGGTTTTCCTTTGCCTCTTGTTAATTTCTCCCCACCCCTGCAAATAGCAGATATAGCGTATGCTCACATTATAGTTTGAGTTTGAGTACGTTGACGCGATATGTACTATTCCACCGTTTCTCTTGTTATCCGTGTAGTGTTATGTGGTACTGTGTTGTCTCAGAAAGAAATGTTGTGGTGCTATTTTTTCTATCTTTTTACTATACCTTTTGTAGCTGCGGTATCTTATGTAATAATGTAATTAACGCAATGTTAAGCTGGACATGTATGGTTGCACCCATGTTGTGAAATAATAAATGACCTCATAGGCCATTCTCCATGCTAATCGAAAGCAAACAAATGTATTTTACAATTGTATGTGGTCTAGCTCACGAGGCCACGAACCCACATGTAGGATAGGGCTACTCAGCCAGTAGCTAGGGTCTCGTACCTTACGGACACACAAGGCATATCCAGATATATTGTTTTAGAATAGGTCTCATTTATTTTATATTACTATATTTTAACAGAGAGAGTAATAAAATGGACTAGTCCACGAACCCATTTATAGTATTTGATAGATCAACCTGTTTAAATGACTTAAATGACCACTGACCCGCCGTAAATAAGATGTGCACTTCACTAGTCAGCCCATTAATTGCATGTGTACAAGCAAACCACCCTTAATTACTCAGCTTTACTGGCACTCCTTGCTCTTTGACTCTCAATCTCCCAGATTAGATCCTATATCATTCTTCGCCAATTAAACGGAAATCTTTTCTTTTGAGAGGCATTTCGCATTATGTCAATCTTAAAATTATAAAAGGTTGAAAAGATTCCGGTGTGAAAATAAATTTTAGAAGGATTTATTTTTAAAATTAAAAATAAAAATGTTTTAAAAAAATCTGCAGACTAGGGGGCAAATACTGCTAAAGATGCTCGGTACCAAACTCAGTTGCATAAAACTAATTTTCCTTATAAACATAGTACAAACAATTAAGCGTGGGATGGGCTTTTATTGGTTAGAGACTACACTCTTATAACACCTAAAACAACAAAGGTTCTAACCATTAATATAAACAATATTCCTATATTTCTTCGTCCTATTATAGTAAAATTTCATTTTATCAAAGCTATGAGTAGATTTGTACGTTAATTAAGCCGATATGTTACGGCGCTTCTCCATGCTATGGCGGCGGGTGGGCAGCGGGCGGGGTGCCCGAGCAAGTGCGGCGAGGTGGACATCCCCTTCCCCTTCGGCGTCGGCGTCGGCTGCGCCTGACCGGGCTTCGACGTCGACTGCAACCATAGTTTAGCCCTCCCAGACCGGAGTACGGGATTAATAATTAGTCACCCCATCAACATCAACAGCATGCAGTAGTAGTATATAAAGAGATGCATGGCAAATGTATTCTTAAGGTAGCTTTTACAATGTATATATAACCACTACTACAGAAAACGTCATCGATGTCAGTTGAAAAACCATCACAGGTGCCGGTTTTTCCAACTGGCACCATGAAAACGATACTTTGATCTCAGGTCAAAGGTGCCAGTTCAAGAACCGGCATCTTTGAGGCGCACACGAGCAAAAAAAAAATAGCTTGAAGGATTGAGCCGATTCCAAATAATACCCAAATCCCAAAATGATGCCTCAAATCTATGAACACATGAACTATAATAAATAATCTCCAGAAAAACAACACATCTAGATCAAATCCAAAACGATCAAACATGAATAAATATCAAGAATAAGGAATCACAAGAGGGAGGGGGAAGACGCGGATCCGCAAACAACCGACACCGTCGCACCTCTAGCCGGCAGCCCCACCGTCGGATCCGCGCTGCCGAGGGGCAAACGCCACCAAACCGTTGGATCCGGTGCTACCGATGAGTGGGCTACTGCTCGCCGCCAGATCTAGCGCTGTCGAGGGGAGCCGCCACGCTGCCGGGCACGGGCCGCTGAGAGCGAGAGCGAGAAGATAAGGCCGGGGAGAGAGAGAGGGTGTGGCTAAAAATATCTCTCCTTCCCCGTCCGACTCGGCTTGGTTTTTGTGATAACGATTTTTTTAAAGAAAAAACAGCACCCATAATATATTAAAGTAACTATGAAGTCACAGTATTCTATAGCAAAATTTATCTTATAATTTTGAATGTGAATGTGTTTCTGAGTGTGGATGTGGATACCAGCTATTAAATGTGTGAACGCATTTTTTATCAGTTGGTGCAGTGAAGCGCATTTTGATTTCTTTTTCTATTACACATTATTCGGTTGCCATTTAACAGAAAAATCTTTCATAACGATTTTGCTATATATTTGTCGACAAATTTTTCCCCAAAAATTTGACAGATGTAATTACAGTACAATCGTAGTGTAATTACACTGTAACTTGTATGTAATTACACTGTAACTATAGTGTAACTTGTATGTAACTTTCAAAAATCTCTCCGTAACATGTTATTTCAGTAAAATGGAGGTCATGAGAACAAATTCTTTCATATATGTGTGTGCTATGATTTGTTTTCTTCCTCACCAAAACAAATCTAGTAATAGATCTAACGATTCAAAATTATGTGAAACTTACATATAAGTTACACTGTAGTTACATGCAAGTTACAGTGTAATTACATATAAGTTACAGTGTAATTACACTACGATTGTACTATAATTACATCTGTCAAATTTTTGGGGAAAAATTTGTCGACAAATGTATAGGCAGTCCTTTTTATAAAGCTACCCATTTAAACCGAACCGATTAAACAGTAAAATCCATACGCCCACCCCTACTTAATACTCCATCCATCCTATTTTAAGTGCAACCATGAGTTTCTGTGTTCAACTTTGATCATCCGTCTTATTTGAATTTTTTAAATTAATATGTTTATTGTTATTAGATGATAAAACATGAATAGTACCTTATGTGTGACATGTTTTTTTAATTTTTTTTTAAAAAATCAAATAAGACGAATGTTTAAAGTTAGACACGAAAACTTATGGCTGCACTTAAAATGGGACAGAGGGAGTACCTAAATTTTGGTTTCGCCACTGTTAGGAGTGATGTCCACTCAACTACTCCCTCCGTCCCTAAATATAAGGGATTTTAGTTTAATGTGATACATCCTAGTACAACGAATTCGGGCATTAACCAAAATCTTTTATATTTAGGGACGGAGGGAGTACACGTAATCAAGTGTGTCCTTGCCCATCTGTTTTGTGTACCCTCCTAGCCAAGGAAATGTACACGTCAACTAGTCAAGTCTTGATAGACACAGGATGGCCACTGTTTGTTTCGTTGCTTGATAGCGAGTGCTTTGCTTGCTTTTGGAAACTACCTAGCAATCACTACAGTAGATTTGGTCTTTTATGATGGATTTCATGTGACGAACAGAAAATCCGTCATTGATCTACAACGAGTTTTCAAAAAGTTATCCTAAAGTACGTTCACTCTCAGCCTTGTAATAACGAGTTAAAAGTCTTGGTCATAAAAATTAGTGATGGCAACAAACGGATCGAGTCATCACAAACACTGCAAAATCCATCATTATGAAGTTCGGATGAAGTATATTCTGTCATGAATTTGGTAGGCAGGATTCTCATGGACCCACACAGCTACCTGCAGGTCTCATTGTAAGTATGAGATTGAATGGAAAAATTCATTATAGAATAGGCCTACAGTTTTATAAACTAGTTGATAGGCAACAATAGTATTTAGGAGATCCCAAATTTAAGTATGCCAAAACTTAAAGGAGGCATTTTGTCTGGTGTTTAGTTTGACTGTGGCTGTGTTTAGTTGGATCCAAAGTTTGGATTTTGGTTGAAATTGGAGATGATGTGACTGAAAAGTTGTGTGTGTATAACAGGTTGATGTGATGAAAAAGGACTGAAGTTTGGATCCAAATTTTGGATCTAAACACAGACTGTGTTTGTTTGTTCGGTTTTAGTTCGGTTGTGTGTGTTTGTCCATCATTTGTTTATCCAAATCAGTGTGCGTATGTATATCCTGATATTGGATAATTAAATCCACCAATTTATTATTTTTATTATATTATTATGTCAAATTTTAATTAATTCATATTGTGTTCTATATGGACTTTTTAATTTGAATTTCATATATTTTGAATTGTAGCTTACTTAGACTCCTTTCTTTTTCTCCAACTAATGTTAAAATTTCTAGTCTGTGGGAGTAAACATATATTTTTGCTTCATTTGAAAAGTGCTTCCTGTGTTTGTGTAGATACTGTAGATCCTCCCAACTTACGTTTTGTCGACTACAGATAATTCTAGTTCTCTTCTTTCGTGTGTATCTTTTAATCCGATCGATTTGCACTACCTACGCATATCTACATCAATGTGAGCGCTTAACTTCAGTGTGAAACCTTGCTTCCTAGCTGTGTACATCTTCAGTTCTTCTTTTCCCTTACGACGCGGATATGCCTGGCTTTGTACGTCCCATTATATAGGATCCACAAGTCCATATCTATACTGTCAGTACATCACAAAGTGTGAACATCCAGGTATAGATAAACTTAATTAATAATTATTCCTTATCATGGCAATGCTCTTTCTCAGCTATGGCCATCCGTTTCGATCGATTGTACCTTCCAAATTAAAAAGCCAACGTCACAAAGAGTCAAGTCAATATCCGTATATATACGTGTCACATAAGTAAGAACGGATTAATTTAGTTTTTACTCGTTGATGTTACAGAGTCTTTATATTTTCAGCCCTTTGCAAATTCACCCAGCAATCCTCGACCATATAATACCTCAACAACGTTGGCTTGTTTTGATCTTGCCCTTCCAAACAAGCCAACGTTACAAGAGTCAAGTCAATGTCCGTATGTACGTGTCCACATTAGTAAAGTGGACTAATTTAGCTTTTACTACATCTACCGAGTCTTTATATTTTCAGTATATGCAAATTCACCCAATAATACTCAACTATATATGCATCAACAACATTGGCTTGTTTCGATCTTTCCCATAGAAACAAGCCAATGTTACAAGAGTCAAGGCAATGTCCGTATGCACACGTGACACATTAGTAAGAACGGACTAATTTAGCTTTTACTTGTTGACGTTACAAAATCTTTATATTTTCAACTATATGTAAATTCACCCAGCAATCCTCAACCGTATAATACCTCAACAATGTTGGTTTGTTTCGATCGTGCACTTCGAAACAAGCCAACATTACAAGAGTCAAGTCAATGTTCGTATGTACATGTATCACATTAGTAAGAACATACTAATTTGGCTTTTACTCCTTGACGTTACAAAGTCTTTATATTTTCAGCTATATGTAAATTCAACCAGCAATCCTCAACTGTGTAATACCTCAAGAATGTC